GACTGACACTTTTAGCAGGGTTTTCGTAGACCAATCAAAACACGTGTATTATATTATCCAATGACGTTCCCTGATGTCGATCCAGGGAGGCTGTTGAGGTTAGGGCCCGTCACAGGGACCGCCTCTCCATCGTGCTCTCTATAAACTAATAATGAAGAGACACGGTATTTTTGACTCTAATAAATAATGTACTAAAATGTCTTGAACATTTTAGTACGATGAATGGTAGCGGCAATTCTAGACTATGTTTCTGAATGCCGCATACTAATTTCTTGTTAGTAGCCCGCTACTTTCTTAAACATTAATCTTACTTCTTCATTTACCGAGTCCACCACATGCTCTTCTTCTTTTACCAAGTCCACCACAAGCGTCTTCTCCTTCTACACTCAAGACTTCCTCTCCACTATGGCCGCCTAGACCACTCTACTTTTGTCCTCACTCCGTACTGTACTACCCTAACAACTCTGCGCAAATCATCCCTCCAACATAGCCGAAGCGATCACTCGGTGCACTGCACGCACAGTTGACGACCCATGGTCCGACGCTTTATAAGCCGACACAGGAACCACGGCTACCATCGCCACTACTGTCTATTTTTCGACAGTGACCTCCCCTGTTGAGGCATTTCCGATTTCAACCTCCACTTGTCCACTACGCACCGTGGATAACGTCCTTGCGGTTCGCAAAGGATTATACAGGCCTGGGGCGTCTTCCACGAGAACGGCTAAGCCGTTCCTAACGTCTCCCTGACTCGCGATCGCATTAGATCCTGGCGACCCGGTCCTATACTACTTCTGAGACGACGCAAGTTGCATATGACTCCTCGACTCCTGTATCCCCCCCGTGGCTTCAACAACATCATCCTGGCTTCCAGGTCAATCACAGCTCAGAAAAGCTTCAGGACATCCGCCCCTAAGATAGCGTCGACACGTAGATGGTTCGTGATAGCGAACGGAACTTTCTTTTCGACTGTTCCCAACATCATGTTTAGTTCCACGACGCCACGAGCTTTGATTTGGTGACCGAAGCGATATTCAAGCTGCCTTGATATAATCGCAAAGTAGTATCGCACATCATATCCTCCTGCGGACCCTGTTGCTTATCAAACTGGCTACGGCGCCCGTGGCTTTGCGGTAGGACAGTCGTCCACATACCCACTGTGCAGTACCTTGATGCCTCCGACGACACATATCACCCCTTTACATGCCAGGCACGACCCGCTCGTCATTCCCTTCACCGTTCACTGTAAATTTAGTATGAATGACTACATAAACACAACCGAGTCTTTAAGCGTACAGTACCCTTGGCATCTCAGCCACAGCTGGGAGGCCGTAGCTGCTATCGTGGAGAGTTCCGCAAACAACCAGTGGTGAATCAGACGCATGTTTCTTGACGATTGTTAGGAACGAAAGAGGTTGTTGCAGAAGTGTGCAAGTTATGAACTGGTGTAGAACTACCGAAATTTGAATATTTGTACGTAATATTGAGCTCTGTGTACATTGGCCCCTTTCAGCAAAAATATAACCTGGAACCTGAAAAAAAGTTCCAAGCTTTGTTTTTTCTATGCGTTCAGCAAATCTTCCCCTGGAGGTGCTGCGTGCTCTCCACAATCATTCTGGCTATATATTCTAAGAGGTCGCGGCCCATGAACGTCGGACTGCTGCTAATGCTTCTCTTGGAGGGGATTCCTCCTCCAGCTGGCATGGGCGGACAAGCAAGACACCTCATCCAGCAAGCGTACCAAGCAGAACTCGATGTGATAGCCGAAGTAGCAGCTCCAAAGGATCGGGAGATTCTCGCGAAGCAGCGCAGCTCACACTGGGCTAAGATGTTGTTCTCTTCGCGCATCTACTTCGATGGATCGATGAGTAACCTATTTCGCATGGATAGCTCTACAATTGGCGCTTTGATACGGACTGTGACCCCCCATCTCACAACAGGAAGAATGGCACCAGATGCTGTGTTGCCTCCAGTGAGAGTAGCTGTCTTCTTGTATCTATGTGCTCAGGGCACATCGCTGGAAGCCACAGCAGATCGTATCGATGAAGAAGAAGTAAAGAGTATATTGCAGGAGTACGAAAGAAAATTCCCACAGCCTCAAACGGAGCTCGAGCCAGCTATGACTAACAACCTACGAGAAAAACTAAAGCAGTGGTGGGCATTTCGTCGCTCGTAACGTGGCAAAATGCGTTAGAGCTTGTCCAAGAAAGCTCGCAATAGCGTCATGTGCTCATCATGTTGCTGGCGGCGCTGGCTTAGCTCTTCTGCGTGCAATAGACGTGCTCCGCAGAGCCCAGGGGCTCTGCCTCGGGCTCTCCGCTATCCATGCGCAGGCTGAAGGGGGGGAGTGAAAATGAGTGCCACGGAGAATCTATCCAGTCTCACAAGTTCCACGTTTCAGGGACCTCTTCCGCTCCCTAAAACTTTGGCACTGAACCGAGGTTTACTTGGAACTTTTAGTGACTTTTTTTGCGGTTGGAGGAGAAAAAAGTGGTATGCTGAAAGTGTTTTCCCTCGAACCTAGAAAAAAACTTCCAGGTTAGAGGTTCCAACGTTTTGCTGAAAGGGGCCAATGGCCCCTTTCAGCCTCTACCCTAAACAAATTACTCGAAAAGGTGGAGGTTAGTTTGATGCTAACAATACATCACTAATACTGAAAAATAATACCAACTACTATAGCATGACCAGTAGTGCTGTAAATAACTAGCCGAGCGCCGCCGCTACTCGGCGGGTAAGAATGAATGTCGTTCCTTGTGTTTTGCCTCGATTCCGCTCGCCACGGGCTCGCTTCACTACTCGCATGGTAGGCTGGCAGATTGTGGCTGTGGCGGGCCCATAGGCCCACAGGGTTGCAGAAGGTGCTGCCTCGCTGCATTCGACAGCTTTTAGGCCAATCAAGACCACCTTCGCTGCGCTCGGCAGCCAGTAGGCATTTTAGAATAATTTTGTCCAATGTTTTTTCCGGAAAAGCGTGACAGGCACGACAAGTGCGCAGCTTGTTGTAGGTTTTGGGTTGCTACACAAAATTAGTAGCTAAAACTTAAGATTTAAGTAAATTCACTGATACTTAAGTTGTTTATTTTAGCCAATAAAAAAGTGGACACGGCGGAATTCGAACCCGCGTCCAGTATTCTCGTAACTGCCACATCCAGCAGCTAACCGGAATAGTTTGTTGAGCATCCGAGGTGACGGTCCCGGCCTACTTCAACGACTCGCAGCGTCAGGCGACTATATATGCTGGAGCTATTGCTGGTTTGAACGTGCTGCGTATCATTAATGAGCCGACGGCTGCTGCGATCGCCTATGGGCTCGACAAGAAAGGAGGCGAGCACAACGTGCTGATCTTCGATCTCGGAGGCGGCACGTTCGACGTCTCACTGCTAACTATTGAAGACGGGATCTTCGAGGTCAAGGCGACGGCGGGTGACACGCACTTGGGCGGTGAAGACTTCGACAACCGTCTGGTCGAGTTCTTCGTGACCGAGTTCAAGCGTAAGCACCGCAAGGATATGACGTCGAACCAGCGAGCTCTACGTCGTCTTCGTACGGCGTGCGAACGCGCCAAGCGGACGTTGTCCACTTCGGCGCAGGCGTACATCGAGATCGACTCGCTGTTTGACGGCGTGGACTTCAACTCGACCATCACGCGTGCGCGGTTCGAAGACTTGTGCAGCGATTATTTCCGCAAGACCATGGATCCTGTTGCGCAGGTTTTACGAGACTCTAAACTGTCCAAGAACCAGGTGAACGAGATCGTATTGGTCGGAAGCTCGACGCGTTCGAAGGTGCAGCAGTTGCTGAAGGATTTCTTCAACGGGAAGGAGCTGTTCAAGTCCATCAACCCGGACGAAGCCGTCGCGTACGGCGCCACCGTGCAGGCTGCGATTCTGAGTGGCAACGAGTCGTCTTCAAAGCTGCAGGACCTGTTGCTACTGGACGTCGCGCCGTTGTCGCTGGGCCTGGAGACAGCCGGTGGCGTCATGACTAAGCTCATTCCACGCAACAATAGCACTCTCAGCCTCACTGGAAAGTATCGTTCCTTGTCCACTACACCGAAGATTCTTTGTGATGGCCATGTCCACCTTCGCAAACGGCTTGTATCTGCGCTGCCTGCTTTTTCCACTTCGATATCTGTTTTTGCTTGCGCTTTCTGTCTGAGCTAGATAAGGGCGGAAAGAAGTGAGCTATTGCTTCACTCACAGTATGCTTAGATTCCAGATATTGTAGTATGGTACGCTTGTGAGCATAGTCTACAGCAATACGAGTAAACCTCTTTGGCCTTCTGCCTGTTCCAGATGAGCGTGGCCTCCCCATGGTGTGTTCGGCATCTGACAAAGTCAAATGTGTGGCAGGAACATTAACTGGTTGTGAGAGTATTTTTAGCTGCGGACATAATTCTTAAATGAAGAAATGTGATTGGCTAAGAAAAAAATTCGCTCAGGACAAAACTTCGCTTAGGACAGGGGGAAGGCGGTATCATACTTTGATTTGTCTTTTTATTTTCGTATAGAAATATGTCCAGCAAAACTTGAATGCAATTATCGTCTAGAAAATACAAATTCTTTAATTTCAATTTTCTGTAGGGTTAGAATTGTAGCATTTCGGTAGCAGAAAACATAACCCACTGTCGAATTTCGTAACGCGACTTTCTGCAAGAATCTTTGAGACAGTACTTACTATACATGTACCAGGAAATTGCGCTCGGATAGACAACCCCGAGGAGGCTTGTTGAGGCTCAACGGGCGATTTTCAACGTGAGCCGAGCCAACGAGCCTTTTTGAGCTTCCAACCCCTGACAATATCCAGAATATCGCGTCGACATCATCACAGAAGTAAGATACTCATAATAGGAGTCCATGGGACGCTGCAGTGTGATACAAAATACTATTCTGGCGTGGCGACCCTGATATGCTGCTTCTAAGAGAAATGATATGAAGTGAACCCCTCTCTCGTGGGTTGCAATACTTCTCCGAGCTACCCAGTTCGTGGACGCGTCAACGGGAGTCATTAAAGTAACACTGGCAGTGTTGCTGATCAGTAACACTGGAAAATCCTTTCGTAAATTACGCGTAATTTACTTTTAGGAAGATCGCCTCCACGAAAGGTCGGATTCTCACATTTGTAAGTTCATCTTGAAAAGGCGGCTCATTTCGACATCTTCCTGCCTGAGCTCAAGTCAAGAGAACTCCGTGAACAGGTAAGCTCGATCGAGCTCATGTCTGACGGAAATTTCTAACAAGAAGATTGTGTGCGGAGTGAGGGACTACGTGACTGCTGTAGCTGATCAGGTAATTGCGAGGATGAAGAACTAACTTGGCTCGATCCTTCAGTTACCTCGGGCGAGGGCGAGCGAACGCGAGCGTGAGCCTCACTCCGTACATACACGCTCTGCAAACGCCCGCCGATCAGGCGGGGCTGTTGTAGCGAGCGAGCGAAGCGAGCGCTGCAACCCGATATTTTTTTTCCTAGACACCGCTCCTGGCCGAAGCCGAGGACTTAGCGCAAGGAACGAGGGGGTGGGGCAAGCTGCGGGGCGGCGGCCCCCCGATCGAAGCGAGAGAGGGGCGGGCCCCCCGAAGTGACGTCGCTAAGTCCGCAGGCGAGTGCCAACGCGCGAGTGGCTTCCCAACTCTAGCTTATCAATAAAGATTCACCTTCAAATGTTTGTAATGCAAACTATCGTGAAATAAAGCATGTACATGTATGTGTGGAGAATTTTCGATTGCACATATGATGTTTTGTTTGTGAACAGCTCTTACAAAGGATTTTGTTGAATGTGGATCTTTTAAAGATTGTGCTGTGTCGGTTACAGCTTTGGAAGATATTTGTTCGAGCGGTCGCTTGCGACTCTTGGTTGAAAAAGATTTGGCGTGGCCAGCTGCATGTACACGCCAACGCATTATCTCCATTATCTAATTTGTCGAGCCTATTGGTGGTGGCTGTGCTGTGGTCGGGTTCACAGCTCCACGACAATGATATGCACGTAACCAAGGCGCGGTTGGTGTCAAGCGCTGTCGGTCAGACCCTACGGAGACAGTCGTGACCTCGTCGCTCCGTGACGGATGCTCGAGATCAGCTCCCATCTTGGCCTCGAAGAGGTGGTTGCGCAGCGGCGACAGAAGCTCGACAGACAGCGTCGCGGGCTTTGCACGCAGTACACGGCTAGCAACATCAAGGCGGTGAACACGTACGCGCAGAGCAACAGCTCAGAACGTTTGATGGCAAGATCACGTTTGCGGAGTTCTCAGCGGTTGTCGGCAACCGCAACGGTTGCGAGATCTTGGCGGCTGCGACTGTTGGCTAGATTGCAA